TATATTGGAAACTCGAGTACATCTTAGCAAATCAGCTGAAATCATAGCTAAATTTACTGACTATGAGGTTTTGCCCAATTATAATCATGCTCCTTTAGGGAGTATTTGGTTTTTTTAGTAGAAAGGGCTGCAAGTGGTGAAAATTAGTGATGGTGCTGACTTTATGCATATGTTAATTCAAACAAATAAGGGGTCTGACTTCTTTTTCACAGAAATCTATGGTTCTAATGAGGAACGAATAAGAGCTTCAATGTACTCTACTCTCCTCCTTTATAGTCAGAGGTTTTCCTTGGTTAGTTACAGGTGATTTCAACGCTATTCTAAATCCTAATGAAGCTTCCAACTCAGTTGTAATCACCTCCAGCATGGTTGACTTTAGGGATTGGGTTCATAACATGGAATTGGATGACCATAGATTCTCAGGTCCTTGGTTCTCCTGGTCCAACAGGAAGGTGGCAAACCCCATTGCTCGGAAACTAGACAGAGTACTCGTTAACTCTGATTGGTACTCGTCTTTTCCTTCTTGTATTGTGGAGTTTCTTCCTCCTGACTTCTCAGACCACTGTGGAATGCTTGTTAAACCCTTCATTCCTGTTAAATCCTTCCCTAAGCCCTTTCGATTTTTGGATATGTGGATAGACCATCCTTCTTATATGGATCTTATGAAGAAAGCTTGGAGCATACCAGCAAGAGGTTCCCGATTAAACACTTTGAAGATGAAACAGTTAGCTGCGAAGACTGAGCTTATGAAACTAAATAAGGAATGCTATGCAGACATCAGTGGTAAAGTAAGAGAGGCTGCAGACGTTTATAAACAGGCTCAACTGACTTCTTTGGCTAGTCCTTCTGAGGCAAATTTTACTCTTGAACAGACTCTAGCTGCTGATCTTAACAAGCTAAAGAAAGCTGAGGAGAGCTATTTTCGTCAGAAATCTCGAGTACAGTGGCTTTCTCTGGGAGATTCTAACACAAATTTTTTCCACCTTTCCATGAAAGTGCGACAGGCGAGGAAAATGATTCATCACTTGACTCTTGATTCTGGTGAAGTCCTTGATGATGTTGAGCTTATTGCTGAGGAAGCCGTCTCATTTTATAAAAAAATCTATGGAGTTATTAATGCTGAGGTTATCCCTGATCCTTCTTTACTCACTTCTCTGATCACTAAAAAACTATCAGAGGAAGAGCAGGAAAGTTTATCCTTTCAAGTATCAGCTTCAGAGATTAAAGCAGCTCTATTCTCAACGAAACCTGACAAAGCTCCTGGTCCTGATGGTTGGACCCTGGGTTTTACCAGAAGTCCTGGTAGGAGAGGATCTTGTGGCTGGTATCTTGGAATTTTTTGCTACTGGCTATCTCCCTAAAGGTTTGAATTCTGCATCCCTTACTTTAGTGCCTAAGATTCAGAACGCTTGTAGAATGACTGAATATAGGCCAATAACTTGTATAAATGTGGTATATAAAGTCATCTCCAAAGTGTTAGCAAATCGATTACAGGTTGTTCTTCCTAGCATCATTAGTAGGAACCAATCCACTTTCATAAGAGGGAGGAACATTGCTGAGAATATACTGATGGCACAAGAAATGGTCTCCAAATATAACCACAAGAATATTAGCTCACGTTGTGCAGTTAAAGTCGACCTTATGAAGGCTTTTGACTCTGTACATTGGGGGTTTCTATTCCAAGTTATGGTAGAGATGAATTTTCCTACACTTTTCATCAATTGGATCAGAACTTGTTTATCGTCTGCATATTTCAGTGTGAGTATCAATGGTGGTTTGTGTGGCTTTTTCCCTGCTTGTAAAGGAGTCAGACAGGGTGACCCTCTGTCAACCTACCTTTTCACTCTGGTCATTGAAGTTCTTACCCTTTTGATTAATAGATCAGCTCCGATAAATCAGCTTCCATTCCATCCCCAATTCAAAGAGTTAGGTTTGACACACCTGTGTTTTGCTGACGACTTGCTAATCTTTTCTGAAGGCTCTGGTTGGGCTCTGTCTTGTATTAGAAGGGTCCTTGACAAGTTTTATTTACTATCTGGACTTTGGTGTAACCCTAACAAGTGTGCAGTTTACTTTGGGGGGACTTCTCGGCAAGCACGGGAAGTAGCTTTATCTCTATCTGGCTTTAAAGAGGGTGCTCTGTCGGTTAGATACTTAGGTCTCCCTCTGATAGCAAGCAAGCTCTCTACTACTGACTGTGACCTGTTGATTGATAAAATAGTCAGTAAGATCCGCTCATGGAGATCGGGCAAACTCACTTATGCTGGTAGACTTGAGCTAATTGCTTCAGTTGTCTATACTATTCTTCAGTATTGGATAGGGATCTTTATTTTACCCAAGTGTGTCATAAAACGAGTCCAAAAACTCTGCTCAGATTTTCTATGGCATGGTAATGACTCGGGGAGAGCAAAGGTAGTTTGGGATCTCATTACAATACCTAAAAAGAAGGGTGGCCTAGGTCTTAAGGATCTGGTGATTTGGAATAATGCCTCTGCAGGTAAATTGTTGTGGTCAATTTTGATGCAGGGGGGGTCCTTCTGGGTTGCTTGGGCGCACAAGTATAAGATTAAAGGGAGATCCTACTGGGATCTGAAAGCAACTCAATCTGGATCCTGGATTTGGTGGAAACTGCTCAAGCTCCGTTCTTGGTTTCATTTTCGACTGATTCTAGAGGAAAGAGGGGCTGTTTCGTGGGAAGGATGCTGGATGGAGAAATATAAGATCAAAAGGGTCTGGTCCTCTTTGCGGGCTAAGCATCCAATTGTCACTTGGTGGAAGATGCTGTGGATTAAACATAATATTCCCAGTAATCGATTTCTGACCTGGCTTATTATGAATGACATGATCATTACTAGGGAGAAACTGATCAGCTGGGGTAAGACTATTGATCCACAGTGTGTGTTGTGCTCAGGTGGTACTGATTCAAGAGCTCAAATGTTTTTTGAATGTCCTTACACTCAACAAGTGGCTGATACAGTGCTGAGGAATTTATCGATGCCAAGTAGCTTTTGTTGGGACGATTGGTTGGCTACTGCAACCAGCCTTGTTTCATCTTCTGGTATCAAAAGTCAAGTGATTGGGTTTTGCTGGTGTTGGTTGCTTGCTTCTATATGGAGGGAAAGATGCTCCAGGGTGTTTGGAGGTAGAGAGTTGACTCCTGAGTTGTTGATTGCTTCATTCCATTCTGATTGTAATAACTATGGTATAGGCAGAGTTGAGTTTTCTACACTATTTGGGTTAGCTCATACTTAGTTTTAGTTGGCTGTTAGAGGTTGGCGTTTGGTTATTTCTTTGGTGGGTTTTACCCTCATTGTATTTTTCGATTCTGGCTTTGTCCAGTTGAGCTTAATGAGAACTGCCAATTATCGGGAAAAAAACTATGTTATAGCCACCTCAACATTCAATATTAAGTCACGATTGAAAAATTTGTATGACCATCAATATAGGCAATCAACCTATGCTTCACCAAAACTTTTAATTTCTTTCAAAATTCAAACAAAAATATATTATTTGAAAGTTCTGACAAAAATAAAGTTCACATTAAAATAGAGTATTATTCTCATTTCTATTTTCTTAATTAATTTACAAGCGATGTTATGGAAAAATAAAAAAACCCAAAATTGGCATTTAGGGGTCGTTTGCTTGAGGGTTTTGATGATGGATTTGGTCATGGAAATATATCCATCATGGATTTGAACCGAAATCCATCGTTTGCCTTACACTCTGTTCACTAAGGAAGGAAATGGAGGGGAAGGGAAAGTGAAGAAGGAAAGTGGGATTCTCAATAAGTTTTCCATTGTTTTTTAAGGAAGGAAAGTATGGAAGGAGGGAAAACTTTCCACCTTTTGTACTGTTGAACCCTCCCCTCCAATTTGGAGAGAAAGGAGAGGGACACATACATGGTTCTTTCTTTTGTCTTTCTTTTTTTAATATTTAAGTCCATTAAATACTTGTTTTCCTTCCCCTTTTATTTTCCTTTCTCTCCCCTCCTTTTCCTTCCCCTTTCATTTTCCTTTCTCTCCATTTTCCTCCCTTCCTTCCTGAACATAGTGTTAGGGAATTAGGGAGATGGAATTTGTGGGGCCCACCACTTTTGGGGTTCCAAATCCGTGGACCCCACGGACTTGGAAGTTCCACCTCTTGAGGTGGGATTTGGGTGATGGATTAAAATCCATGATGGTAAATTACCTTTATACCCTTAATTATTTCTTTAATTACAAATTTGTCATACTTTAATTCAATGGTCATGCAACTGTAAACTTTTATAATTTCGTATTTTATAAATATGAGAATTTATCATTTCATTTTGTAATATCGTATTTTATTTAAATATGAATGTATATGTGATTTGTTAGATTCACCTAGAAACACTTTATGCTCATCTTGTACATTATTATTTGATTGATTGTCGGATTCCACATCGGTGAGTTAGCAAGAAGATGATGAGTTGTAGCAATAAAGCGAGCAATTGGCTGCAATTGATACATAATATTGCGTACATTATTAGATGAATTGTTTTTTTTTTAATGAAGGATTATTAGATGAATTTTTAATTAGTGCCAAGATGAATTGTTAATTAGTGCCAAATTGTAATACATTTCTATATTTGTAGTTGAATTATTAATCCACATAGTGGTAAAGAGTTTAAAATTTCTTTCTATGTTTTGGATTGGTTTTAAATGAAAGATTTGGATTATAATATAGAAATATAATTAAATAAGGGTAACTAGGTAATTTGTATTTAATATCCACAAATCTAATCAAACAAAGTCCATAATCAAATCCATCAAGCAAACAATAGACTTGTTCAAATCCATAATGCCACCAAATCCATCATATATCCATGGTTTTCCAAAACCCAGGTTTTACCAAAACCCTCATTTTTTAAATCCATGAAGCAAACGACTCGTTAACGGATCATATTACCACAATCACGAAAATAAATTAAAGAAATCTTTCGATAACCAAACATGAACGGTTGGCTGATTAAGGAATAGAAACTAAATTAGGGTATCTGAGCTGAAATTTTCTGAAGGTAGTACACAAAGGGCAAGAAAGAGGAGAAATCAGAAAACTAATCAAAAAATTCAAGGCTTGCCCTTGCCATTACTCCTAATTGGCCAATTCGAGCTGCAACCGGAAGCCGGAAAGCCTCATCGTTGATCATCAGCAATGGCGCTTCTCGCGCCCAGCATAACGAGCGAGGTTGGTAGCCCTCATCGGTCCCTCCCCCGTCCCCCTCCTGGGTTATCACGTTAGGGTTTGACGAATTCGGCATCCCTAGATCCTTAATTTAATAGTTGGTTTCAATTCATGCTTACGGTTCTCGTTTCCTTCTGGGTCCAAGTGGAGCAAAAATTTACTCTTGAGTCTTGAGAATGAGACGGTTCTGTGAATTTGTGATTCTGATGCAGGTAGGCTTGCGTTTGCTTCTTTCCCCAATTGGTTCCAACGTTGTAACTCGAGCAGCATGGTGAGTTTCAGCTTCTGGGCTCTGTTTCTCAAATTGTAATTTTAATGTTGATTGCATGTATCTTTTCATATGGTTGTTAATAAAGTATTAACTTGCTGGAGGCTCATTGGTGGTTTCTGCAGTTGCTCTGTTGGGATTGTTCTGCCGGTTTACTCTACATACCAAGCTCTTGAAGCGGATGATGAAACCCAGCAAAGGAAGTGGCTGATTTACTGGGCAGGTTAGCAGTGTTTGATATTCTATCGATTGTTTATTGCATTAGCTTGCCAAAATTTCATTCACCCATTTCGATTTGTTGCTCTGATATTCAAATCTCAGTGTTTATGGATGTTCGTCACGAGTTGTGTTTTGGCATCTCTTGACTACTCCTTTATTATGCGTGCATTGCAGCATATGGATCGTTCAGCCTTGCGGAAGTGTTTGCGGACAAGTTGCTTTCCTGGTGCTGGTCTAACTCCTTCTCTAGTAAGGGTCATAGCTTTCGATTAAGCATTGTCTGATCTGATTGATCCTTTTGTTTTCATGCCGTGCAGGGTCCCCATGTATTATCATATGAAGTTTGCATTTCTTGTGTGGCTTCAACTTCCATCAGCCGATGTAAACTACACAATCTATTCTTTCTATTGTGTCCATAAGTTACTCATTCCAAATCAGATCATCTACTCTTGAGGAATATAAAAGTTGCGAAATTTCCATCTTTTCTAATAAACATTTTATGTTGGATGTATGAGATTTCACTTTGATGTATTTTGGGGACATAATACAGCAATGACGATTTTGGATTTGCTTTTTCTCCTTTACAGGGAGCAGCACAACTGTACCGAAAGCACTTGCGTCCATTCCTCTTGAAGCACCAAGCTAGAGTAGATCTGCTTATGAACTCTGCCTATAAGGAAGCGGTATGCGCTATATCTTCGTATTCAAACACCATATTGTCGAAATCATGCCGAGCTTGAGATATCAGAACTCTGGCATACTTTCGTGCTCTTTTACACATTAGAGATGAAAAACACAAAACTTCACGTCTGGCTTGTTTTGTCAAACTGCAGGCAAGACTAATTAGCTCACACCAGGCAGAAATTGACTATGCCACGTCTGTATACTTGAAGATCAAGGGAACAGGTTAGGCCAACTTCCGTATGTTTAATACAGTAGCATCAGTACATGCTGCTCCCAGTTCTTCTAGTATTTAACATTTCGTTGTCTCTCAACAGATGAAGGAGCAACAATTGCTCGGTCCCATGAGACAGCACGTCAACCCAGGAATGATGGTGATGATGAGTCGAGTCGAAACACATAAAAACCTCCATATTTATATCCGAATTGTGCAAGTATAGTTGAGAACGGCATTGTGCATAGATCAAGCCTCCCAGTCCCTCTTTGTTATTGAGCTTGTACAGGACTCGATTGCAGTAGAATCGAACTAGTAATAGTCAGTGTTCTTATTTAGAGAAATGTTTGCCACCGTAAGCTGGAGCCAGGCTTTGTTAATTCGATGCAGTGCCTCATGGGTTGTCCACTTGGATTGATTGTTCCCTATTTGGAGATAAGTTGAAAGTTGTCACTTGTCTCTCAAGTCTCAACCCTCTAAACCATCAATATTCTTGACTTCCGTTCTAATGTTAAGCCCTTTCATAATATTGCTTTCTATATATAAAAAAAAAAGCGCAGCACATTGATTCAGCAATCTCTACTCTTTCTGTTCATTGGATGAAAAGTTAAACATACTACTGTAAGTAGTATTGATCCACAAGTATCCCCAGGCATGGCCTTCCGACCTGCTTGACTAATAATAGCACAACAAAGCAGTCGTGTAGGTCTCATGAACAATATGTTTCCAGCTCAGAGTTACAGTCCTTATAAAGGTGTAAAAAAGGAAATGTTTAAAACACTGATACAACTAAAAAGGGTTAAGGGTAAATAGGGTATAGATCAGTGAAGAGAATCATCGATTCATCGTCCTATTGCTCAATTTTGAGGTGGTCAATACTTCATAACTGCGAGTAGACCAACTCGGTAGGGCAGTGCTATATATCTATCAGAAGTTGCCATTCTTTCTCCTAATGTCATCTCTCAACTATTCCCCTCGTCCCCACGGGAAGTCAGGTTGTTTTGCTCGAGCTGATCTTCGGCTTCTTGCCCGTACGAGTCCTTCAATTTTTTCTGAAACAAGTGGAAGAGGGAACCAGGTGCTGGTTAGAAGCATGGCGAACAGTAAATCACCGGATAAACTACCAAAGGGAGCAGAGCAGGGATAATGAACCTTGATGGAATCGTTCTCAGATTTCAGCTTCTCGCACTCCTCCGAAAGCCTCAACAACTCATTTTTAAGATTGTGATTGTCATTGGTCAGGTTTTGTACCCTGTGCTGTAGCTCTTCACATTCAGCCTGCCAAACGGGTAGAATCTTTTTAAAACTGTTATGAAGATTGACATAACATAGTTGATGCCCTCTAAACAATCAATATTCTTGGTATCCAACATAGTTGAAGATTGGGAAAACCAAGAAAATAGAACCCAAGCTTTCATCACGTGAACAAGAGAAGTCAGTAGGAACCATCTCTGCAAAGGCGATCACCGCAAGAAGGTATCCAACTTAATACTGGAGCAATGATCTTCAAGAGACAGAATAAAAATATACCTGCTTGCGTAATCTTGATCTTCTAGCCGACTCCCTGTTCGATTGTTTTCTCTTCTGCCTTTTTATTTCTCGTTCATCCTGTGAGAACAATACTTTACATTTTAGGAGCAGAGGAAATTAAATGTAGTCAACAATCTAACTAAGCATTGAGTTTCTACAAAAGCCTTTCTAAGGAATATAATGCCTCCTTGGCTGACCAAGATAATGACAGATGATAAACTACAGGAGGATCAAAGCACCTGAAGCCATGGCTCAGGCATTGAAGATGAGCCACCAGGGGGATTCGACCTCATTTTTGCCGTTCCCAACGCAGCAGCACCAGGAGAGGCGTTCCATAAGTCCATCCCAATATTTAGATTGGTAGCAGGCACAGATGCAACAGGAAGAGCACCATGGGCATTTGGTGCAGCATTGCTGTTTTGTGCATTGGCTATGAAAAAATGTATATAAAAATAAAATGTGATGACACATGCCTATTAAAGTACACAAAATGATACACTGAATGTAAAAATGGAAAAGATACCATCTGCCAGCATCTGATTGAAACTGCTTCCTTTCTTACTTGCTGTATATTCCTGAAAAAAATTGAAGACCAGCATTATTTAACAGAGGATCATGGAAAAACTGTCATAGGCTGTTTTTGCGATTACAGAAAGGGTAATATTGTCCTCGAGTTATACCTGCTGGTCATCGCTACCATCTGACGAGCCCTCGCTGCCACTGTCACCACTGTGTTCATGAGAATTATTTCTATTAGCCACAGAGGATGGAAGAAATAAATTATTAAGAAAATCCACAAATGGAATTAAAAAAAAAAAAACTAAGGGGCTGACCTTTGGGAGCCGCCATCCCCTGAACCTGAAGCTGCCTTTCCACTCTCTACAACTTTGCTTACTGGAGTTACCTTGGCCTTCTTTGCAGAGGCCTGATCCTTTCCATTAGCTCCTTTTCCTTCCGTCTCCCCACCTGGTGGTACTGAGTTTGGCGCCTACACGAGTCACCCGCACAGGATATGAAAATAAGGAGGACAAGGATAAACAAACAATATGACCATAAAGCATACTGATCTTACCATGGCCATACTAGGATGGGGATACATCCCCCCTGCAGGATATATTGCTGGGTATGGAACTGGGGTGCCATAATGTGGCACAAATGGATGCTAAAATTCCAAACAGAAACAACAATAAGATAGTATCTCGGCTAACGAAGAGAAGACAACAAACATGAAACTTATTGAAGCGTGCATCTAACTTACCTGGTATACATAGGGGTGGGGAGAACCAACAGTTGATGGGAAAAAAGGTGGAGTGGCTCCAGCACCATAATAAACCTGAACATAGGAATAACTGTTAAAAATTAAATCTAACTCCACAGACCATAACAGATGAATATGATAAGCAGAACTGACAGAAGAATAGGTGGTGAGCACGAGATCTAAGGTGCTAAACATTAACCTGCATAGAACCTGGCCACTCTGGATATGCAGGTGTTGATTGAACTTCCTGCAAACGGAAGGCAGATAGTTAATTTTGGAGCAATAAGTATAACAAGCGGATTAAGATGGGAGCAGAGCAGTGTGAAATTACCTGAGTAGAAGTAGCTGTCGGTTTAGATGGCTTAGCAGGTGTACTCTCTTCACCTGTTCCCATTTGGCTAAGTGGAGTGGTACCCTAGCTTCAATGCTTAAGTATGACCTTGTCTATTGCAACAATATCTAAAAATCGCCTGGAAACAGCATTCCGAGAAACCATGCAAATCAGAAATCATTTTCTTTCCAGGAAATAACTCCAATTATTTTGGTGCACATGTTATCTCACTTTCCATACACCAGATGTTATCTACTGCTAATCAATGTTGAAAGTTGAGACATTCAAGTGCTCTCGTGAAAGTATGCAAAATCATGTGTCTCATCTTGTCAACATCAGAATCAGCCCAAAACCAACTAGGATAATCCATGAAGCATCTGTAAACCATCGTCTGCCTTATCACAATTGCTTTTATTATCTTTACTTACTCAACACTTCCCTTTTATATTTAGGTTTCGAGAGTATATTCTCTAATCACCAAACTTACATGATTCATAACATGCAGCATGCGGGTTCTGTGGGAGCCCAGATCTAAAAAATAATGATTCAAGATTGCCATCAGTTTAAACTTAATTTGTAGGAATTTTCCACAAGGAAGAAAGGATATCTAGAGGTTGTAGTTGCACAAAAGATCCATATGAATACTTAAGATCTAAAAAGAGAAATCAAGCCCTTCACTCAATTAGTTCGATATGATTAGGTTCAAACAAAATTCATTGAACTACAACAGAAAAAAAAAACAATATGGCTTTGAACCAACTAACTCATGTATCTTATTCGGCATAAATGTCCTCTTAATCTTATTCGGAGAGGACAGGGGTTGGCTGGAATGTTCCAACCCAATGCAGAATGCTGACAGCTTGCCAACCTGAAGATAAGTTTAAGGGCCTCCAGGGAAGATGGGAAACAGCATCTCCAGTCTTACAGTGTTCATTCTAATTTCCACCAACCACCAATATCATTCACTATTATTTCCTTCCATTCTATCTCCATAGACCATGCGCATGTGGACAATTTCCCCTAGCTTATTCAGGGTTGGGCGTATATTTATCCAATGTGACCATATTCACAACTCACAAGGGTTAAGAGCATCGAGCCTACCCGGCATTCTTCCGGCTGAGAATCTAAACATAACCTAAAACTGCTGCTACCCAAATGATTTGAAACTAATTGAAGCACAGTTGGTAACATTCGCAAGCAAACAGAAGACAACACATAAGAGCCGTGACCCGTGAGCCATTAATACATAGGTTGCCTTGTGCAACAAACAAGTACAAGAACCTGGCTGACGTCTTGGATTCTGCCGCCCCAAATTCAATGTACAGATTAATTGCAGCCAATTACAGGGAGCATCCATTAATTGCAGCCAGACAATAGCAATCTACTCGGACAGTCACTCCCTAAAATTTGCGTACAGCAAATTATGATACCAAAGCAGCCATTACTTGAACCAAAACCACATTCCAAATTCATGACATGGAGAATCCCTACTCCCCTAGGCCCCTCCATAAGAATTCAAGAGACCAATCAGAACTGAGCTGTGGTAAAAACAGAGCTACACTTCAATTCCCAGATTCCAAAATTCAACTAGCTGAAAGGTCAAGCACGGTTCCTGAGCAAAATCCCTATATCTAGACACCTGAACTTGCTTGATTGGTCCTAGCTACACGGTAGCTATCCAATCCTACTCAAACCCAAAAGAGGAAAAGCCCAAAAGACCAAAAAATTGAACTGGGAAAAAACGGAGAACACACAGAAGACAACAAGGAACAACAAGTCAGACTTCCGCAATCGCTTCCATGACATTGAAGAAGTATAATAATCGCAGATCCCAAACGGCCAAACCAAAATCAATAGGAAACGAGCTAGCTTAAGCCCAGAAAACAAACATGCAAAACACAGTAAGGAGCAAGAACAAATAATAACCAGAGAGAGCCAGAGAGAGAGAGAGAGAAAGAGAGGATCTGACCTGCTCTCATGGCGTGCCAGAGAAAGAGAGAGTGTGAGGTGGAAGTCCAAGTTGGATACTTTTAAGACACCCCAGCCAGAGTAAAAACAAAACAAGGCCCCCTTCTCTTTAGATACTTCCCCCCTCCCAAAGGATCAACGGCTCAGAATCAAAAGGCTCCAACCCACACCACACACCCGGTGGAAAAAGAGAGAGAGAGAAGCCCGGAAGAATATCCGCCCAAACAAACACGAAAGCACCGGAACCCAGCTACCCAATTGCGAAACCAACTCAAATTTCCGGCCTTTCCTCTCCGTTTGGCCGATTATAAACAAACTAAAGGAGAAGAAGAGCTGACTGTTGGGTTTCGCAGCGAAAGATGAGGGAAATTAACAGAAAAACCCAAACGGGGAGACAAGGGATTGAGGAGGAGGATGATGATGAAGGCGATGATGTGGTGGGGCGGTGTCCAATCGCGGGGTAAAGAAGTGATGACTAGTGGGTGAGATTAGGGTTCTCTCCCTCTCTTTTTTTTTTTTTTTTTTTTCCGATTTGGGGGAGGACACGTGCGAGGAAAGAGGTATCCAGCTGTCGGTGGCTGAGTGGATTAGGTTTTCCATGACTTGGCTTGTCGTTGGCGTCGGCTCAGTGACTCATCAAAGCTTCTCAGCCCATCTGTCTTCTTGCCCAGGCCCACCATCTCTCCTCTCCTCTTCCGATAGGATAATCACAAATTTTTAATGATTTTTTTTTGTATTTAATCATTTAAGTAAATGTTTAATCTGTTCTTTTAGCTAGGGATGGCAATGGGTCGGGTCGGGGACGGATAGTGCATATCCGTTACCTTACCCAAAGTAGTTCGGGTTTTACCCATACTCACATGTAAAACGGGTAAAAAATTGAAACCATGCTCATACCCGTTCTGATTTCGGGTATCCGCGGTTATCCATGAGTAATGATTTTTCTTCATAACTATAACCAATATGTTAATATTCACACGTATTCTCACATTACGTAAGAAGAAAAGTACGAAAATAATTCACTAGAATGAAGAAAATTAATTAAAACAACACAATTTCATGAAAATATTATATTTATATGCTAAATATAAAATATGTTAGAGAAAAAAATGATTATTTCTAGACAAAATACATATGCATGTGTATAATCGGGCGGGTTCGGGTTGGATAGTGAGAAACTCATGCCCAACCATTACCCGCAATATTCGGGTTCGGATTTTACTCATACCCACTAAATGTCCTTCTGGTTAGGGTTCTACCCTACCCAATTAGGCCGGATTCGGGCGGATATCCACAGTTACAGATATTTTTGTCATCCCTGCTTTTAGCTTCTTTTTTTTTATGAATCCTTTTAGCTTTTACGTTTTTTTTTATCAATTTTAGCTTTTACGTTTTACCCAAACTATTAGGGGTCGTTTGCTTCAAGAATTTGCATCATGGATTTGGTACAAAAAAATCAACCATCATGGATTTACACACAATTCGTTGTTCGCTTTGTCAAAAAATATTTAGATAAATATGTGGGCCCACGGATTTGGTTTTTTTTTTTTTTTTTGCTCCAAATCCATGCGCCCCACGGTTTTATAAATCCCACCTCATACCCTGGGATTTGGAGACAAGCTGAAAAATCATCAAATCCTTGATAAAAATAGCTCAACAAACAAAGAATTTCCTCAAATCCATAATGCCCAAAATCACTAATAAATCCCAAGATTTTTAATTAGCAAATCCATGACAAAACCCTCGTTATAAAATCCTTAAAGTAAACGACCCCTTAATATAAATCTATTATTTAACCGTTTTTTTAATGAATAAACAATTATTGTTAACCTCATCGGTAGAATTCTGGTCTGGAGATCACTTAATTAATTAATTAATTTCAAATGCTTACTCATCAGTCTAGGGAGTCGAATCCAACTTAAAAACCATCTATTAAAACTTTGACAAAAAAAAACATCTATTAAATATTTTAGGCTTAATTACAAGTTTGGTCACTCGAATTGCTACAAAATTTCACGTTTGCCACTCAAATTAATTTATTCCATTTATAGTCACTTAAATTAGGTTAACAGTCCAAGTTTGGTCACTGGCCGTTAGTCTCCGTTAACTTTTGCTGATGTGGCAGTCAACTCTTATAGTTGACCGTTAAATGCATGATGTGGCAATTAAAAAATTTAAAAATTTTAAAAAAATTTAAAATTTAAAATCCCACCTCAACTATTAAGAAATAATAAAAATAATAATAACCTTTTCTAATCTAACCTTGGCTCGGGTTGCTCCTGGAATCTACCGGGCCAAGACCTGACTCGGGTTGGAGCGGTGACAGGAAAACGAAGGAAAACGCGGCAGCAACCGTCTTCAGTTTGTCCCTAGGCGACGAGAACAAGATCATAATCGGAGCTTCGGGGGCGATTCCAGCATTAGTGGAGCTGCTGGAGCAGGGGAGCAGCAGAGGGAAGAAAGATGCGGCGTCGGCATTGTTCAACCTGTGCATCTACCAAGGGAACAAAGGCAGGGCGGTGCAAGCCGGGATCGTACCGGCGTTGCTCCGAATGCTGACCGATTCGAGAGGGGCGGCAATGGTGGACAAGGCATTATCGATACTGTCGGTGCTATCGAGCAACGCTGAAGCGAAAGCGGCGATCGTGAAGGTGAGCACGATCCCGGTGCTGATCGATCTGTTGAGGACCGGGCAGCCGAGGGGGAAGGAGAACGCGGCGGCGATATTCCGTACACAGATTTTGATTGCAAACAGTAAAGAGCCTAATAGAAAAGTTTGAATAAGTAGTCCAGAAAACATGAATAGCAACATCAATTGGTTTGGTTTTTGGCCGTAGTCTGTATGAAAGAGAACAAAACGGAACGAAACAAAAAAATACACAACAGAGTAGAGCAGAGCAGCAATACGTACTTACGAAAGTTTCTTCCTATACGATAACTCTCAGAATCGCTGCCGTCTATTTCCGCTCTCTCACGGCCATTTTTACTTTCTCAGCGTCGCTCTCGTCAAGTTCCCTATTAACCATTCTCCCACGAATCCCCCGCCGCCGTCTTCGCACAGACCTACATCAATATTGTCCGCCGCCGCCATTGCATTTGCAGCAGGAATAGTAGCTCCTGACTTTGTTGTTCACTGAGTGTTGCTCTGTTTTTGGAGTCGGCGGTGTTTAAGATACATTTCGTCTCCGGTAGATTCCAGGAGCAACCCGAGTCGAGGTTAGATTAGAAAAGGTTTTTAATTATTTTTATTATTTTTAAATAGTTGAGGTGGAAATTCTAATTTTTAAATTTTTAAATTTTTTCATTGCCACATCATGCATTTAACGGTCAACTATAAGAGTTGACCGCCACATCAGCAAAAGTTAACGGAGAGTAACGGCTAGTGACCAAACTTGGGCTGTTAACCTAATTTAAGTGACTATAAATGGAATAAATTAATTTGAGTGGCAAACGTGAAATTTTGTAGCAATTCGAATGACCAAACTTGCAATTAAGCCAATATTTTATTATTTGTTTTTGTCCACTCGGGGCCACGACCACCCAAATCGGCCATTAAGGCAGCTATATTTTCAGCCCAAGGCTGGTAGTATTAATCCGAAGATGGGCCTGGTGCGCAGAGGTCTCAGCTCGTTAAGCAAACAGATGGGCCGAAGAGCTACAGAGAGGGAGAAACTTAGCCCTGTCGGCCCAAGGAAATGGAGTCTCACAGACGGCCGTTCAAGCGAGGAGAAATCGGCCCGAAACGAAGAGCACAATCCGAATACATTTTACTTTTCCTTGGCGTTAGGATATGGCGATATGCTAACCTAATAAAGTTAACCTAACTGACATTTCATTGTTAGCTAATTCAAAAACAAGCTTATGTCAAAAAAAACAAACTTATGTCAGTGAAAGGGTCCAAATTAGAGGTATCAGATCCGAATTTTTAAAGTAGCACATAACATAAAAAATAAACATATATTGCCCTTATATATAAAAAAGAGATTGAACAACTAAGGCCCTGTTTACTTTCATTTCTGTTTCCTGTTTTTTAGAAAACAGATGTTGAAAACAGGTGAAAACGACATTTTTTCGTTTTCGAAAACAGTAGGAAGCTGCCACTTTCTGTTTTCAGAGTTGGAAACGAATAGAAAACAGAATGAAAAGTAAACATGTTTACTCGTTTCGTTTGCCAAATTTGTAACATGAAAACAGAAAACAGGAAACGAAAATGGAAGTGAACAGGGCCTAAAGAATGTTATTGCTCATCTATAATTTTAGCAATCCAAGACCAACCAATAAGCTCTTTAAACTTTTCATGAAAAGTCCAAATGAGGCTAGATTTGACTTTAGACTATTACTTCATTTAGCTTACAATACTAATATTCTCAAAATATGAATTGATTCGTTATATACAAATTCCTCCATGTTCATTTCACAACAAGTAAGATATGTACTATACAAAATTCTTCGATATAGTTCTGTAGAATCCATCAAAAGAGGAATATAATCATGTACATAGCATGAATACCATTAAATCTATCACCGCAATCGTGATCCTTAAACATTTACACACACGAAAGAATACACGAGGCTCCAATATTCTTAATGCATACCCTAGTAATTAAGAAACCGTCATGGGACAACTATCACCCTTTTCAAAACCCATTTGATCATACCGAGTTACATCATTCTCATCCTTTTCTAACATGATTTGCACTTATCACGAAACGAGTCGAGATATCGAGATACCCGAACTATCTCATCCGATTGCCACTACTATACATATATGTGTGACTGATTTTACTCTACTATTTGCTTCTGTCAAGAGATTTGGAGATTACTCTTTCCCATATCTATAAAGAGGTTAAATTCTATTGCAGATTATCTAGCTCACAGTGCACTTTCTATATCTCCCCAAACAAATCCTGATAGTCTTTCCGATTTTAATGTCAAACAATTGGTCTTTTATATGATCTTGTTAAGAATCTCTTCCTCGATGGATTAATGAGGAAGATGTATTTGTACTTTACACATCGTTCTTGTTTTAAAAAGAGTCATTGATAAAGAAGATAATTTGGCCTTCCCTCAACCAAAAGGCATATACATTATCTAGATTGCCTACCATATACCACACAACACATCTGGGTGAAACTTGCAAAGGATCATTTTCCCAGAAGATTCCATCTTCTGTCTCCTTCCTTATCTTTTTTTCGGCAGCAACGACCAATCACTTTCACTATCTTACCCTATCCATTTCTGCTTTCGACACAACTACTTTCCCTCTCCAATTCCATGGGACGAGAAAGACGACATCTAGGAAGGGGATCTATCTGCCTTTCATTTGTTTCCATTTTCGTGACACCCAACATTGAACCGTGTTTTGGTCATTTGTTGGGGCTCCAACGTCGGATCCTTGGTTCGGTAGACATTAAGCGGATTTGTCCAATAAATTCGACACAACTCATCACACACACAAAAAAAAAAGGGTTTCCTTTATGTCATCAGACGGATCTGGTCATTGGCAGTTTGGCACACGCATATCCGCATCTCTCAATCTCATGCTGTCGTATATTGACCGATGGTTGAATCAAGGTAAGCAACCCATACAGCCAACTCAGATCGGCACGAATCGAGTTAACCCGAGACTTAAATCGCGGATTTAAGTGTCCGGTTCGTAATAATCGGAGAAATTCGATTTCAGGTTAGGTTTAATTAGGTGAAACCCGAAATTAAAGGATACTCCTTGTCGATGCATGTTTGTGAAACCATACCGTATTGACTATTTAACCGTAAAAATACTCTGCCGGTAGACAATTTTTAGCTGTATGAAACTGTTGAACCATAATTTGAGTACAAAATACTCTATCTCTAACTTTTCCGATACTACCTATGATTTTGCAGTCCTTACTCTTACTTCTAGCTAGTACAAGTTAATGGATACCTCACCATAGTTATAATTACCTCTCTCTCTCTCTCTTGTTTCTGGTTGACATGTAGCTTCCCTTCTCTCTCTATTAATCCAGCAACTCTTCCATTTTCGGTTGTTGTTGTTCCTTTGAAAATCCTCTCCCTCCACCATCCATAATCCATAATTCCATATACTTTTTAAGTTTTAACTCTTGAGGATAAGGCCAATCTTTATGCCGTTCCCAATATAGGTGCCACCCTATTCTTTGCTCTTCAGCACTTCTTTCGTACCTCCTATATATAATGTGTATGCACTTATATATTACTATTCATCAGACCTGTCATTAATTAAGGTCCACAATTTTGTTTTAAAAACACACCCATCTTCATATACAACAATACATACCAACATGTATTGTAATATCACTGTTCACATATACTCAATCAAATGGTCGAATCTTTTCGGTTTACGATAAGTTCGAAGCATTCACCACTAAGTACTGAGGACATGTATCGTAATATTTTACATGTAACCTCACAAAACCAAACAACATGTGCTTACCAACCCACCTCTTATCTCTGACTTTTCAATATATTACATCTGAATTTATGTGTTCACTTGTGTCAATATGACATATGTATAGCATATTGGTAGGCACAAAATGCATGTGACATATCAATTTGTATATTCACTTAATAGAGAAAAAGGTAGGGTTAAGTAGGCAAGATATTGATGAATAGAAGGAAAAGACGTCCACAAGCTTCCTACCTCATCTAGACACAGAATCAGGCCAAAGTCATCTGATTGATTGGCTACTTAATTACATTAATAACATTTGATTAGTCATTAACATATAAACTAATTCACAATGAATTAGTACTAATTAACAATTATTTATTAGTCCCCTCTTCCCCACACAATCACATGCACAAACCCGAAAGGTGGAAAAGGACAACTAAGATGTGAGAAAACTAATTACTTTCGTTAATTACTACAAGAGTACGATCGAGGAGAGAGAGAGAGAGAGAGAGAGAGAGAGAGAGAGATAGAGAACACTTACATGATAGAGAGAGAGAGAGAGAGAGAGCATCTACATCATGATCAGTACTTGGTTGGTAGCTAACTTAGCTATATATACAATGATATATATAGATCCTAGAAACATTTAATTAACACTAATTACTAATGATAGTTAATTACGTTAATAATCAATCTCGGGGTTTTTTTTTTCCTGATGAGATCGTATTAATATAATTTCACATGTACATCCATTCCATCCCGTTGACAACGTAAGTCGCCTCCGGCGCCATGTTGTAGAACACATCTTCATAGCTCTCAACAACTCCAAATGCTCCCCCATCTTCAAAAAATGCCGGCGCCGACGACGGCGGATATTCCTTGGCTTCCATGGTCATCGACGAGCTTGGACTGTTGCTGCCCGCCGCCACGTCCGACAGCCGCTGGACCTCCTTCTCGGCCTCCGATAGTTGCACTTTCAGCTTCAAAACCTGGGGAATTTATTACGAGATAATTAAAGACACCTTTAGGCTTTAGATGAACCGTCCATTATATTTTGGTTGGTAAAACTGTAACAAACAAACACATGTTACTGTGAAAATGGCACAGTCAAAACCTGATGAAGTCAGGTGTTGTATACGGCTGTAACCTTAAAAACAAAAAAAGATAAAAGAAATAAAGAAGAGACTCAGGTAGGCTACAGACATGAAATGGTACGTACGGACGTGACATAAACTCCATGTTCTGTAGCCAGATGGCAGGAAGGTTTGTTAAATCTGAACCACATGTCCTCCTTGATATTTTTTTGTCTTTCTGACTTCACTGTTCTGAGTGCTATAGTCTTTTGTGCACGAAATTTTTGAAAACTAGAAAAAAGGACCACAATTTTCCGGAAAGGAAAGAAGGGAAAAGGGTTTCAGTTTCGAGTACTTCTATTTTCTTATGCCAATTTTAGGGTCGATAATTTAATTTTTTTCAAGTCGTTTGAATAATCAGTCTAGTTTTCATTCACTTTATAATTCCTCTTATATTGGATATATTTTGACAAAATTATGATTGAGAGAATAAAAATCGTAGCTCCCGTATAAACGAGTTTGTTTTCACATTTCGAGCATGTTGCTCATGCACGCTCGAGAATAATGGATCGTAACTAAATCACCACAAAATATCGTTATTATTATTATTATTATTATTTTCATTATAGAGACGGTTTGGGTAATTTTTAAAATTATAAGGAAGTGGGCAAAAGAAGAAGAAGAGTGCCTAGCTAGCTAGCTAGTCTTTGTTTTCCCTTATTAAAAATTTTATTTATCTTTTTTCACTCACCTAATAACATTAACTTCATGCAATTGGATAAGATCAACCCGAAAAACAAACGAAAAGAAGGAAAACGAAAGACTCATTGTTACCTCGGACTCAAGGCGGCATTTATCAAGAACGTTGCGGTCGTGAGCGGCTTTGAGCTTGGAGTATTCCTCCTCCAGCTTCTTGTTCTTCCATCGGGCCCGCCGGTTCTGGAACCAGACCGCCACCTGGCGCGGGTCCAGCCCCAGCTCCGCCGCCAGCCTGTCCTTGCGGTCGGACTCCAGCTTGTGCTCGTTGCCGAAGCTCAGCTCCAGCATCGTCACCTGCTCGTCGCTCAGCTTCCTCTTCTTCGGCCACCCGCTAGCCGACGACGAACCCGACCCATCTTTGTTCTTCTTTCTCCTTCGCCGCGGCGCTGGTTTCACTTTCTCCTGGTGTCGGGGAAGGGATGACGAGGAGCCTTGTTGGGGGAGGAGTTGTGAGGAGTCGACGGCGGCGGCGGCGGCGGCAGCGGTGGGGTAGAGTTGTGAGATGAGAGACATATCTGATCCGATGATGGTGTAGCTGTTGGTTGAAACCCAGTAAGGAGTTAAGAGAGAGAGTGTGTTTGGTTTCTGGGAAGCTGATTTGTGGAAGGAAACACGAGGGAGATCGAGGGCTGGGGTTTATTTATATAGTGGAAGGAATAAGAGAGTGCTAATAATAATAATCTATGTGAGAGTGAAGACTTTGAAGGAGACTAACTGCTCGCTTGCTTTGATGATGAATGAATGAAACAGGTTGCTTGCTGAGTTGTTATTCCTTTTTCTTCATTTAACGGCAGAAGAAAAAAACATATATAGATTGATAAATTAACTAACTTATTATATATAGGCTGCAAAGTAAGGTCTTTGTTTTGTTTTTAGTGGTTGATTAGTGATTATTACAGAGGATTTTACTGTGTGTTTTTTTCAACTCATGGTAACCCACCACCAAATTACATAATGTGTATTTTTTTAATTAAGTTGGGAACTTTGAAGAATTATATACTGATCTCATGACCAAATTTGCATTTAGGGTTGTGAAATTTAAGATTAATTAATGAGTCGAGGTTGTTGCAAACATTTCTCCCCCCTTAAGATAGGTGTTTTTATCGATCCATGACTATAGTAAAATTACAATGAAGAATTTTAAACAAAAGCAACGCGCATACAATTGGTCATTAAAGGATCAACATATGGGTTTTTGCCTAAATCTAAGACTTAGCTTGCGAGTACTACTACAGACAAGAAGCAATAAGTTCATAGTATTCTGCTTGGTCTTGATAACTAGGACCCAAGAAAGAATTGTACATTAGTAAATTTAGGAGATGGCTAAATCGAAAAACCAAAGAAGGAAGAAGTGCTAACGGAGGTGTTCAAATGATCGAGACGACGGGTTCAAAATTTAAATATTGTGTATTGTCTTTTCATGAAGATCGGCCTATAGAGACGAGACCATTTCTTAACGTGGCATCAAGATTGTGAACTTCTTAATAAATCAAAACCATATCTTGCAAAATGTGAGGACAAAAATGAAAAGATAAAATTAAAATGTGAGAAGTGTTATATCATTTTATCATTTCTACATAGGATTTTAATAACCTTCTACCGTATATATCTAGCCTAACGGATAAAAAGATTACTACACATTATCACTTTATCAATACCACAAAACAAGAAAAAGTGAGGCTAATTAATAATTAATTAAATTAAAGTATATTGGTGTAGGGATATAGCGGACGAAAATGGGTAGTGGATTGTAGGTTTTGTAGGGTTTCTTTATCAAGCAATTAGCTAGTTAGTGATCAAGGAAAGCAACGTCATGAGTAGCTAGTTAATTAACTAGTTATTAATCCCAATTAATAAGACAAGAGATGAGAGGTTCGGAAGAGAACACATCACACCACTAATCCTATCCCTTAATCACTACAATGCAGATTAATGCTGTAATTAATTTCCAAGTAGCTATAGGGCAGCAACGGCTTAAAGGATTGGGGGATCCCACGTAGCTTTGATCTCTGTGAACAAATTAAAGAGGGCTTAATTTAATTATTATAACTGAATGGTTGCCTCTAGATTTGGACACGCAACTCACTCATGTTGTCCGACTGGGTGGCACGCCAGTCCCCTCTCTTTCGCCCTCTAAAGTAGAGGGTATGTAGTAAATTATTAATTAACATATTAAATCTCTAATTAGCCCCGTACGTCAATTTTAAGTAATTAAAGACCCACGAGGCAAGCAAGCGGAAGGCCACCATAGGTCGCCAACTCATCATGACCTTCCTTCCTGCATCCTTTCCAAGGTTCAAAAAGGCGCTAAGCGTAAGGCGGGCGTTGAGACGTTGCCTAGCGCATAGCTCGTCTAGGCGTAGACTGAGCGTGCCTATGTGTTGGAAGAAAAATAGCTATTCGCACTGCATGATGATTGAAAAAAAAATAATCTACAACACTTCGTCACTTTAGTTAAGATGATTAATAACTTACTCAACACTTAATGACAAAAAACGTAGCTCACGAATTCATAGATACATAGCGCAATAGCTCACAAATTAAGTTCTTGAGCTATTGAAAATATTGATGTAGAAAATTGATTTCGTAGTTGACGTTAATTTCCTCCTTTAATATTGACTTCCTATAGCTCCATCCAGTAATGTTTAGGAGATACTTATATGTCGCCTTACTAAATTGGCGTGTTCCAGTAACTAATTAGGTGCAAAACCCCCCAAGCGAGGCATTTTGCCATTGTCTTGTGCCTAGACGTGTCTAAGCGTAAGGTTACGCCTAGACGCAAAGTTAAGCGTGACTTTTTGAACCATGATCCTTTCACAATCGATTATTAAGTAGTACAATTGATTGTAATTAACTAGAGAATTCCTTTATTTTATTTCTAGAAAAAGTAAATCTCTCTCTCACATACACCCACACTCACAAAAGCTATGAGTAGCTAGGGTCCTCTCTCTCTCCATGCGTGGCTCGAGATGGGTTTACACTTTACATTGTAAACGATTTAGCCACTTTATTATTTAGCAAGCAAGTGCGAGGAAGGGCACCCGCCCCTAATTAGGACGTTTTTTTCTTCTTCTTAAAAGTTGAGGGTAATTAAAAATAGCTGAATAAGTAAGGTAGTTTTGGAGGGTAGTAAGTTGCCGTCATTGTTGACGTCTGGTAAGTCAAGCCCCATAATAAAAACAATAGTGGATTAAGATTAACTACTATGATTTGCTAGCAATTAGTTCCAGGGGTATCCAATATTTTGCTATTAATACTTTGGATTAAGTGGATTGGGTTGTTGTAGAGATCAGATTTTCCTTTCTTTGGTCACGATCCGCCATTTACTTCTTTCACTTTTCACTTTTAACTTCCCCCCGCACCTCACATGTATGTGTAGACTCTACGCATTCCATTCTTCTCAAGTTCTATCATTGGCTTAGTGATTAAGTTAGTGCCGTCTTGTTTTAAGATGGTGATTAGTGACCACTTAGCTTAATTATATGAAGACGTACCCAGCGAAATTTGCATGGCTAGTCATTATAATTAGAAATTACGTGTACCCATCTATAATTAACGATCAATAATTATGTTTAGATAATCGATCCCAGGGGGTAGGTACGTAGGATAAAAGAGGGAGGAGAAAGTATTGAAAAAGAGTAAAAGACATATCAAAATGGATAGCTAGACAGAGGTAGAAAGCAACAAAATTTCCCTTGATTTCAGACATTGATCATAAGAGTCCAATACAGCAAACAAACAACTCATGAAGTTGCTTTCACATTCTTACTCATCTCGTAGAGCTTCATAATTAAAACAAAACATGAGCCACAATAGGGGACTAACGGATATTGTCTTTCAAAATGAAACAATTACGATTGGATAATCTCGTTTGGCAACACAAAATTGTTCTAGCTTTATCATTAAAAAAAAAATCTTTTTTTTAAATGACATTTTCATAAAAAAGTTACTTCTCCTTTAAGTTATAAAAAAAATACAATCGCATATATCAAACACTATAATATATGATACACCAAATACATAACTACCTGTATAGTGTAATACATGTATTGATCACAACATACATCAATTTAATAATACGATTATGGTATGCTTGCAGGTTTAATTTATATACTCCATTAATTTAAGGGAAAAAAATCTAAATTATCCACACAATTGTAAGGTCGAATGACCTATTTATATAAATTTGCCCATCATTATTCATGTGACATAAATAATCTCGAAAACATAAGTGTTGAAGTCCCATCATAAAAGGAGGAACGTAACTAAAAGTCCTAAAAAAAACAGAGCATGCGAGTGAGGAGATGGAGTGGAGGAGTTGAAGGAGTAGTAAGTACGTGGCATTCACTTGGCCAAACTAACCCTGCTATTTCTGAGTTTCAAACAAACAAATTTTTGTTGTGAAGAAGAATAAAAACAAAGGAACAGAAAAGGAGGAAAAGAGAGAAAGAAAGACCACTTTGGCTTTGGGTTGGGGATCATCTGTATCTGATGCATAATTCCGGACAACTGAAATGAAAGGAAGAGAGGCTTTAAACGAAAGAAAGGAACCCTTCGAAAGCCCAAAAATGGAGTCATATGTGTTCAATTTGGGCAAAATGTTATCGGGAACCAATCACCGGCCTAGTTTTTCTTTTGGGGATAGTTCCAGATTTTTCTTAAGAATATTCACGAAACTTGTTAAAATTATTCAATGCCGACACTCCAAAACGTATATAGTATGAATAAGTAAAATGCACTGTAAAAAAAAATGTCACTTGTTGTGCGTGAATATGTCACCGGGATGTCTTTTCCTAGAAAAAAAAAACAATCTACGTATGTCGCAAGTTTTTCAAGCGACACACCCTTTTATCGCTTTCCCAAGAACGCTAAATTTACCTTTCCCACAAGTTCAAAATAAAAACAACATGGCGATGTATTGAAAAATGACCGTAAAAAATACCGCTATTTTGAGAATCAAAACAATATTTACTAACATCCGATAATTCCCCACATTCTAGAATCCATCCCCCATGCCAGCAGATAATGAACGGACGGACGGGGTTGAGCTAGGGCAAAACGTGACATTTTTACGAGCTCTATATAGTCAAGGGGAGCGGGATGATGAAGGAAGGGACCCATGAAATTGAGGCAGTAGTCGAATGGAACAAATTCATTCATTTCATTTTCACGACCAACAACAGTTGTTTGATGTGTCTTCTATCTGTCACACCACTTCACGAGCTCTCTACTCTCTAGCTACTCTAAGCAGCACCATAGCAACACATGGGGCCAGCAAAAAGTTGGATAGAAAGTAAAGATGGAGAGACCATCCAATCCAATCCATCAAACTGTGTATTACCCAATGTTGTCAGAGCCGAACCCGAGCATGACCCGATAATCTGAACGGTTTGCACTTTAGTGGTCCAACCGATATTGAACCATTATAAAGCCGTTAGAGAACCGATACCTTATATAAATAATAAAATCATAAGTATAAGACACATGAGATAATAATTTAATAATGTAATGATTAAAATAAAATTTACTAGGTACCCGTCACTTCCCCTCTATCTCTCAAATTCTTTCTTTTCTTACTTCTTCTTTCCTTCAACCCAGCAGCAACGCCCCTTCTTCCACCCACCCCAGTGGCGGCTCACTTGAGACGGGGGACTGGTTTCGTCGTTGGTTTCCCCAAATCGACGAGCGGGGAGCGGTCTACGGGGAACGACGACAATGACGACAGGCGACGGGGGACTGGCGTAGGCGATGGCGACGGGGAAC